AGTCAGTCCCACATCAAAGCGACCAACGCCTAAATAACGTAAACAACCTAAGTCAATCCATTGCTGATCGGAGCCCTTGAGATCATTGATTAAGATCCTACAGAACTCATCTGTTTCACTACGTGCAGTGCATATATATTTCATGACAGTTTCACTCTGTTCTGCTTCATCGTATCCGCTCTTGTGTCGGTTTCCGTCCATTCNTCCCGTCCAACGATCTGCAGGCCGCCTCTTGTTATTTCACTCACTGATTGCCGTATTTCCAGTCATCTCATCATTCATCCGGTATAACGATTCTCGATTTTGTCTTACTTCCACCAACTTGCTCTTTTAGAGCATTCCGCCATACCGAACCTTTTTCTCTGATACCTTGTCCACTTTGTGTTCCATTCGTAATTATATTCATTGCGACCATCAATTTTTTCCTTTTGAGCTTCTTCTATAAGGAAGATTATGTTGTACATCTGATCATGCATACGCATGCTTTACGGAGCTCCGTGAAATATACACTTAATGTTATTATTGTCTCCGTTTCGTGCTTCCTGAAGCCCTGCTTGTAATGTTGATTCACCAAATGCTTTGTTCTGCAACATTCTTAAAATCGTCCATCGAGCTGCGTTGATTTCTTCGACCGTGAGGTTCCCTACGCTCAGGGTACCTTCGTTTCTCGACGAATACATAATTCTAATGTAAGAGATGAAACGAATAATCCATGCAACTGACTTAAAACGTTTTGACCATTGAGAGTAACGATGCAGAAGCTGTTCTAGTTTTATCGACAAAAAAGCTGTGTCCACGCGTGCTATAGTTTTCTTCATCACTACGCCATCCGGTGGGTACGATACTGGAGATAATGCCTGTGGAACATAGCTCTGTAAGAACATCAACCCTCTAAACATGTCTCTAGTTCTCTTCTTGTTGATATACCTCTCAAAGTAAGGTCAGCAATATTTTTTTTCGGACCGGATGTGACGCCATCGGGACACCGTGGAGTACTGATTGATAATTGCTAACCGATTGGCAACGAATGTACTAAAACATGTTGAAGTATTTTCCGTATAATATTTGACAACCATTGAATCTGTCCAGTACCACACATTGCTGAACATCTCCGATAGAGCCCTTTTTATCAACTCTCTTATCTTGATTCCGAGGACTGCCGCAGCCAGTTCCAGTGGTGGTATGGTTACGGGTTTGATAGGTGTCACTCGAGACTAACTGAACAGCAAAACGCTGTAAGCCGGTTTTCTTGCTGGAACGCACCACGCGTAGGCGACGGTCCCATAACCTGTCTGGATGCATCCCAGAAAACATGCAACTCTGTTCTCCCTCATTCTCCTCAAGCTTCGTTTATAATACGTCTTGGGATCTTAATCACTTCAAGACACCTAACAAAGCGTACCCAGCTTTCCCAAATAGTGGCATCTACAGCATTGAGAGGTTAATCTCGACCCATTTTGAATTTACACAAGGTTTGCAGCAACTGATTTGCTGGGAGGCACAGAGGGGCTACCAGACCTAGCGGGTCAAACCACGAACTGATGCTGGATAATATACCTCTTCTTGTCACCGTCTTATCTAGTAGCTAGGACTGGAACGTAAAAACATCTCCTGTTGTGTCCCACTGCACGCCCAAAGCTCTATGATAACTGTTATCAAATTGAGGCAGTTGAACCAGGTTGTTACTCGTGCCGTCTTCCGAGAGGGATTTTGCAAGTTGGGGTGAATTAGATGATCACCTACTCAGTTTAAAACCACCTCTTCCCAATAGTTCGGTTATTTTCTTCGCAAAACGTAAGGCTTCATTGCATTTCGTAAACGACGCAAGACAGTCATCAACGTGGAAGTTTTCTTCCATGGCTTTCATCGCCGCACGCCCATAACCACAACCGAATTCTCTTGCAGCCTTGTTCAAGGCAAAATAAGCACAAAACGATGAAGAAGCTGCACCAAACTGGGGAGCTGTCATTTGATATTCCTCGGGATCCTTGAGTGAATCACCCAGTGGCCACCAGAGAAATCTCAATGCGCCTCCATCATGTTTTAGCACCTTCACTTGCATAAACATTTCTTTTGTCAGCTGTAACAGCTAAACGTTCTTTACGGAAGCGCAAAGGTATACACACTAAATTCTCGGTGGTGTATGGACCTTGATAGAGTATGTCATTTAACGATTGCACCTTGTGTTTTGCCGCACAATCCAAAACTGTACGCAGCTTTTCCGGCTTTTTTGTGTTCAGTACTGCATGATGAGGCAGGTACCAACGCGGATGAAAGTCGCAGTGTAACTGTTCCCCTGGGACTGACACCGCATATCCCTTCTCTATAGTCATCTTCATCGTTTGTGCGTAGCGGAACCGTAGCGACTCGTCATTAATTAAGCGCCGCTTGGGGCTGTTCAACCTCGAGAGCGCTGACGCATAGTTTCCCATACCGGTATTGACACCCTTCTTCCATGGCACAGGGACCGCGAAGTGCCCACCGACGAACATTGTACCGGACTCTACAATAGCGATAGCCTCCGTATCGTCTACGGAAATGCCTTGATCTAATAACTGGGCGTCTGTAAATTCTGCATCGTACATTCGCATTACTAAACCTGTACCCCAATCCCATTTATCCATCTGATGATCCTTCACAAATGGCACCCTGACTTAATCTCTCGTCGTACATAGTTGACTTCTTGAATTTATCTCGTCCCATTGTAGTTGAATCCTGTTGTGGTGAATTCTCCGATTCGCCTGATCTACTTGTCATTTCGACCTGCGTTTTTTGAGCGCACTTTCCGCTCAATTATAAATATATATATCCTTTGGGACACTCACGCCCTCCTCATATGCTTCTATTATATGCTGTTCTCCTTTTCTCTTCTCAGCTGGATATTAACCCAGACTGCCGAGTTACGCCTTTTTCTTTCAGATTCGGTTGTCTTGGGCCTGCCGAAGGCTTGGGGTCTACAACCACAATGGACCTTTTGGCTCCGGCAATGGTTGTTGGGCGCGGTTTTATCCACCCTTCAGACTACATGCGTTCGCATTCCGGACCAGGTTGAGTATCACACCCCCTGCCTCACCTACAAGGTGTTTTAAGGTTAGGTGTCTAGCATGTAGTCAGTCCCATATCAAAGCGACCAACGCCTTAATAATATAAATAAAAACCAATCAGTCCGTTAACGGTGAGGCCCTGAATCCCACTTTTCTGGGATCACAGAAGTTCTTCCAACTATATCGACATACGAAAAAGTTTATTTGTAAGCCATCTGTTCTTGAATTACTGTACTCTCCCCCAGTTCGATTTTAGCTCTGCCTCTGGAATTATGAATCTTTCTTCGCTATTCTTTTTCTGCCCTTGGAACTCTTTTCGCGCTTTTTTCCCCGAGCGGATCTTTCAACTCCCAATTCTCCTTCTTGCCATTACTTTTCGTAAGACAAACGTTCACAATGATGCCCATTACATTACAGATCACCCCCGCCGCTCCATTTTATTACCTTTTCCGCTTCGTGCTTCGTTTTCAACGCAAGGCACATTTACGGTATTTTACGTACCTGTTTGCAAGTTACGTTCCTACACTCTTTGTACTATTTTTTTCTCCAACGTTCATTTCTGACATTGTTGTACATTTTGATCATGCTCACTGTCGTGCTTCGCGGGCTTCGCGAAATATACCGTTGTTATCATTAATATTATTACTGACCTTCTAGTGGATAAATCCTGGACGCAGCACGTGTATTTTCTAACCACGTCCCGACAAGAACACACCCCATCTTCACAAGACTTATTCATCACCAGTGAGAGACACCAAGTTGATGTCATTAACCAGCTTTTCCCTTTTGGAAAGAGTTAGAATGTTTCACTGATTTTTGACTACATTTATTAATTGGAATCCTTTACTTCAATAGAACATACTTCGAGACTCTAAACCAGCTTCTACTGCTACACATCAGTCCTTCTTCTGAAATGTCTGTTGACGGTCTCGCCAGGCACAGAGCACGTCATCTCTTACGCAGATTAGCAATTCGTTCCCCGAATTCGAATTTCGTCTAATGCTAAGCCCCCTCTCCCTCGCCGAATTCGCCGGCTGCTGGATACACGGACCAAGCCTTTTAGGAGATACATGAATGCTCGACTCACGGCCGACGGAGATGCTTTTAAACAAGTTAGAAAACTCTGCCGACACAAAATTTGTGAGCATCAAAGATACACCCAGATAGCCATCCTTACCAATGCTCAAAGCACTAAGTCTTTCTTCTTGAAATTCATCCGTAGCTTGCTAAAGCCCTCTCTTTGCCCCATAGCTCTCACTAACCCAGACGGAAAAATTGCCTCATCTTCATGAGAGATGGCGGATACCTTCCGATCACACTTCCAGAAAACATTCAACTCCCCATCAGTGCTCAATCACCCCCATTCTGCAGCCACTCGATACAAATCCATCTCTAGGATCTATCCTTTTCACACGAGATAAGGTTGGAAGGAGACTCTGGAGCTTTAATCCGTACTACTCCATGGGACCTGATAATATACACCCCAGGTTACTGATAGAGTCAGCTGGTGTACCAGCCGCCCCGTACAGTCTGCTCTTCCAACGCAGTATGGAGGAGGGAACTTTTCCCACAGGCTAGAATGAAGCCGTTATTTGCCCGATATAAAAAGGCGCCAGACACTTCCCTGTTAGCTACCGTCCCATCTTCCTAACCAGCATCCCCAGCAAAATTTTCGAGCGTCTTATAAAAGATGAAATCTTAAAGCATCTTAGGGTCAATAACCTTCTTTCTCGTTTCCAGCACGGATTTCTGCCTGGCAGGTCTTGCATCACAAATATGGATAGCCTAACCAAAGCCTACGATTCCGGCAAGATCTCCCTTGCTGTTGGCATTGACTTTGCGAAGGCATTTTATAAGGTCTCACACATCCCTCGTTTCCACAAACTTTCAGCACATTGTATTGTAGACCCCTTTCTAGCACCTATTTGCAGCTTCCTCTCAAGTCGCTCATTTGACGAACCTACTAGCATTTCTTGACGAGGTTGCTGCCAGACTAGGTAGAGGACACGGAGTTGAAGTATGCTACCTCGACTTCAGAAAGCGTTCGACTCCGTCAACCATCGTCTTCTAGTCAGAAAAATACAAGCACTCAGCATCGTTCGGTGGATCGAAAAGTNGAGGCAACGTCGGGTAGAGCAGCAGCGTTCGGTGGCGCCCCTCAGGGATCGGTATTAGGGCAGCTATTTTCACCATCTGTATTAACGACCTTCCCCAAGAACTAGTCGTGCCGTGTTTTGTGTTCGCCGACGACGTCAAGCTAGTTGGATACCCCACCTCAGCGCAAACGTAACAAGACCTAGATCGTTTGCAAAACTGGCCGAAGGAATGAGAGCTAGCACTGAACATCAATAAGTGCATGAAGCTTCAATTCCAGGGAGGCCAACCACTCTAGAATAACAGGCTACTGGAACTGGATAACCCTCAGGGAATAACGCAAACAGGGCAGATGAAGGACCTGGGAGTGCTCATACACGAGACCTGCAAATCAGCTAAGCAGTGTCTTCTAGCTGCCATAAGGCAAACTGAGCGCTGCATCAGTTACTGAGAACTGTGGCCTCAAGAGACAGAGTCGTCCTTCTCCCGCTCTATAAAGCGGTCGTGAGGACTCACTAAGAATACTTTGTGCAAGCCTGGTCGCAATCCCTCGTGAAGGAGTCGGTAATATTTCATCTCGGTAATGTTTCATCTTCACTACACACCTGCTCTTCGAACTCGTTTCCGCTCATTTCCTCTTGGAGGGATATTCCAACTTCCAGTTTTGTCTTGCCAATTGTTTTTCATAAGACAACCGTTTACATTGATTTGCTCTGCTCGACAGATCACCCCCAGTACTCCATCATATGACCTAGTCCGTTTGTGTTTCGTTTTCACCGTATTGCACATTTACGATATCTTTCGTACCCGTTTGGAAATTATGTTCTTACACTCTGTATTACTACTTTTGGTCTCCACTGTCATTTTTACATTGTTGTACATTTGATCATGCACACGAGCATGCTTCACGGGCTTCGTGAAACATACCGTTAATATTATTATTACTAAAGAATGTACAAAGGAGGTTCACTAGGCGAATCAGGGGGATGGAAGAGTTGGACTACCAAGGCAGGCTAAGAGAACTTAACCTGCCCTCTTTGGTCAGAAGATTAATAGGAGATCTCATAGAGGCTTTCAATGAACTAAAGGATCTATCCAGTACGGGAACGCAATTGCTATCCTGGAAAAATAACCTCGCTGTTTGAGGGAATGGACTAAAGCTTGAAAAATCGAGAACACCAAGGAGCATCCTGGAGACTATCTTCGCTCATAGGGTTATAAACCCATGGAATAAGTTGCCGGCCTCGGTTGTTTCAGACGCCTTAGTTGAGGATTTTAAGGATGATCTAGATGCAATGTGGACGGAACTGTTTCCAGCAGCTGCATAAACGGCCCCAACATTACGAATGATGTAGGCATGAATGCATGTTCGTGTGTATAGACTCGTGCTTACTGGAAAAGACCCAAATGTCCCTACTGGGTAGACAGTAGACTGCTCAGTTGTGCGGTAACCACAAAATCACTATTAGACCGGGTAGGCCGGTAACGGGCTCAGGAGGATACATGCTCAGGTTCACTGCTTGAGTGCAAGTGGACTAGATAACTGGAAGCGTGGCTTCCAGGAGGATAAAAGAGGTTGTTTACACGTTTTACCACTCTCACTTGTTCTCTGCACTATCGACTTTTCCTCTCTTGCTTCTTGATTTCATCAAGAAATCCTACATCTTTATCCACCAATTTATACGGGACCACCCGAAGAAAACCATCACATCCCCAACCGAGAGAGGTAGGCGGTGGCGACTTCTAGGAATGGTACAGTAGTCCTGAAATCTTGAAGTAGTACTCGGGTTCGAGGCTTGCGCCAAATAGTCCGGGTTCTGTATTTGCCTTCTGTTCTGCAGACGCACCCTAAACCATACGGGTTGCAGGAGCAAACTGTGGCACTCAGCCATATACCAGCCCTGCAAACAGGAGAAGAATCAAAAATAATTGGGTGAACAGAAATTGCATCTGCTATGCTACCCCAAAAGAATGGATAGGTGTTTTACACTACATCTGATGGTTAAAATATCATTTGAACCCTGAGCGCAATGCCAACGGGGTAACGTTTTCCCCTCCTAGCTAAAGAGTGTTGCCGAGTAAGCCAAATCTCTCTTGACCGAGGGGTGCACGGTNGCACGGTTCCGTGACTGACTTTTCTTCCAGCATCTCTCCTTTCACTCTAAGACGAATGATGATCAAGTATGAATGACCACTGGACTGTTGTTGTGAGCAGGGTCCCATAAATACTTCTCCACCAACCTCCAACTGATCCAGCCTGAAAAACCAGATATCTACCTCACAGCCTAACAAACTTGACATATCGTGAGTATAGTCTTGTGGACTTAAAACCAGCAAGAGGACTACCTGGAGGAACTGTGTATTAAGATTGAGGATAATCTCATAACACTCACAGATGAAGCTGCACCCCTGAGAAAGGAGACAAAGGAGAGAGAAAGGAGAGGCGCAATGTCTTGGAGGACAGGTGTAGTTAGAAAGGCAGTGAA